CTAGTCTTGACTCATGAAGATCAGCTGTGACTAGACTTGACTCATGAAGATCAGCTGTGACTAGACTTGACTCATGAAGATCAGCTGTGACTTGACTTGACTCATGAAGATAAGCTGTGACTTGACTCAGGATTGACAGCGGTGACATAACGGGGCACTGTTGTGTCCGCCATTTTGTGATCAGGCTCCGCTGTCGCCACCATTTTGTGAGCGTGCTCCGTGACTTGACTAGACTCATGATAATAAACTGTTACTTGACCTGACTCATGATGATCAACCGTGACTTGACTAGATGCTGTTGTGTCCGCCATCTTGTGAGTGTGCTCCGCTGTCGCCACCATCTTGTGAGCGTGCTCTAGAGTGGCCGCCATTTTGCGATCAGGCTCCACTGCCGCCGCCATTTTGTGAGCGTCCTCCAGTGCGGCTGCCATTACAGGAATGAGTGCGGTGTCGCATTCCTCCACGACACCCACCGTGAACGCTGAATCAACAGTCCACAAAACATGATCCAAAAAACTACTTAGTGACAAACGAGGACCCTCATGAATCACTCTTGATTTTAAAGGCTGGTTAAGGCCATCACAGAAAGTGTCAATTAACATACAGTCCGGTAATTTTGAGCCATTAGCCAAAGCCAAATATTCCTCAATGTAACCCTCCAGTGATCGTGTGACAATCGGCAAACAGAATCAAAGGGGCGAGACTAGAGGGATAAGTCCAGGTACAAGGCAAGGTCCAGGCAGGGGCAAACAGTATCAAAAATGGGGGAAGACACGAGGAGGAATCTGACAGACACAGGGGAAGATCAAGAACGAGAACACAGACAAGGCAAGACTAAGGTGGGGCTAAAACAAACTAAACGGGCTTCGTAGTGTAGCTATCGCTAGGGGAGTGATAATCGCTAAACAATACTCGGCAGTGGAATGGGATCAGAGTGAGAGTTAAATAGGGGATGTTTGAGTGATAACAGCTGTGTGCAATCAGTGCTGTGCAATCAACTGTGTGTGTGTGTGTCATTAGTGCAGTGGATGATGGGATATGTAGTCCGGGGTGATATGCAACAGTGTGTAGTGCGAGAGTCAATGAAATGGGAAGGGTGACCTCTGATGGCTAGCAGACGGAAGTTCATGGACCGGATAAGTGACAGTAGTGAGGATCCTTAAATATTTTTTAAGGATCCTTTCATATTTTTTTCTAGTATTTTAATCTGATTGTTGTAATTTAAAAAATATATATATTTTAACTTACATTTTTACAGTTAATTATTAGCTTTTCGGTAAGCCCCTGCTGTTCCTTCACAAACCCCAGTTTGCGAAACTTTGGCGTAATATAATGTTTAATTCACTTCATGTTACTAATAATGGAATATATTTTCATTCTCTTTGTATTTTTATATCAATATGGTACTAGATTATCATATTTCAATCAATGTGATAAATGAGTTGGGCCAAAAGTAATCAAAAAGTATAGTATTAAAAAGTATGACTTAAAATGTGTAGTGTAATGGATTATGTTGCTAACTACAATTTTTATCTTTTAATTTGGAATCAGTAAAGGACTGTGATTTGTAAATAATCTGCCCAATGCTATTCATGAAAGACTGCTCCGGAAAAAAAAATGTATTACAGTTTCTATAAAAATATGAAGCAGCTCAACTGTTTTCAGCATTGATAATAATCAGAAAAGTTTATTGAGCAGCAAATCAGCATATTAGAATGATTTCTGAAGGATCATGTGACTCTGAAGACTGGAGTAATGATGCTGAAAATTCAGTTTTGATCACAGAAATAAATTACATTTTATAATATATTCACATAGAAAAAAGTTATTGTAAATTGTAAAACTATTTCACAAAATATTACTGTTTTTACTGTATTTTTCAATCAATTAAATGTAGCTTTGATGAGCATAAGGGGCTTATTTCAAAAACATTAACACATCTTACCAACCTCAAACTTGTAAACGGAAGTTTATATATTTCTGTCATAATGGTAGGGGGTTGAATTGCAGTTGCTAAGTTGTTCCGAGCAGGGGTGTAGCCATCATTTCAGAAGTGAGGGGGACAGAAATGTAATATATATATATAAAACATTACAATATAACATTTCTGTAATCTATATAACCTACCAGACAACAGTTTTTGGACAGTAAGATTTTTTATGTTTTATAAAGAAGTCTCTTCTGCTCACTAAGCCTGCATTTATTTGATCCAAAGTACAGCTAAAGCAGTAATGTTGTGAAATATTTTTACTATTTAAAATAACTGCTTTCTATTTGAATACATTTTAAAATGATTGCTGTGATCAAAGCTGAATTTTCAGCATCATTACTCCAGTCTTCAGAGTCACATGATCTTCAG